AAAGATGAGAATATTAGTGTGAACTCGGGTTTTTCTCAAACTAGTTAGACGTAGTGTTAAATGCCGAGAATGGATAAAATTGGACGGTCGTGCCGACGATGGAGGGCCATCAAAGCATATGGCTTACTTTCCTTTAAACTGCCTTTGTGTCCCCTTTTCGTCTAAAATTTTAGCTATTCTTCTATTTTTAGGTAAACCTATAAGGGCGAAAATTACTGAAAGGCGATGCGTTTTAAAGAGGGTGAGGGCTGCGGATAAGTGACAGTTAGTGTTACTATATTTGGATATTTTGGTCATTCCCAGCCCACAAAGCTATTGAAACGCGTCTCTGTTAGTGACTTTGTTTGTATGTCAGCCGTTGCTTAGGGCTGTTAATGCCCGTATTCTTAATTTCTTCAGTAAAACAACAGTAGCCATCCGTGTCCATTTAACCTCTCACTTGCTCCTTTGAGGCAGATAGTGAAGTCGTGTTCACTTATGTCCTTTTACGATGGCAAAAGAATGAATCTCTACTGCCTATGGTATTCCGAAAGAAAACCTGGACGGGACACTGCATCTACGCTAACAGTTTTGTTCCCCTTAATATAAAACGAAATCTAGTCCATGGATTAACAGCTAGAGTATGACGAATCTGTTCCTTGAAACTGTAGAGGCAGATTTCCAACGGCTGGAAAACAGCTTCTTGACGATAGATACCTAGAAGGGTTTATCCTCAGGCCTACCAGTAAACACAAGAAAACGTCTGGTACCTTAACCGCATAAAAGAAAGATATGTCCATAATACTGCTTTTTTTACGCGATGCAACAGGCGAGCTGATAAGACAACGCCTGAGGACTGCGATTATAAGCGCTTTCCCGCATCGACCCTAGACATAGTCTTAATGAACTCTTCCCTCCAATGATTGGGAGGTAACGACAGACTCTCATTGCAGGCCACATCCATGTGTATTTACTCCCTCCCTTACTGCTGCGGAGCAGTCTACATTAGCCGAACAACGAGGTGCCTGGCTAAGTAAAGGTGAAAGTAGATCGATCTCGAGTTCTATTCTTGCACACCTGGTCGTTACGAATCACCGAGTCGACCCTAACGAAGTCTTTCAGGTTGTTTATCGGACACCAACCATCTTATCTAAAGGCCTACACTAACGGTTGCTAGCAACAGCCGAAGCAGTTGCTATACAACTAACGAATTCGGTAATGTGTTTTAAGAAGACACTAATACGGGTATTTTCCTTTCTTTGGTAAGTCACTTTCAGTCCACGTACGCGACTCATGATCAATACTCACAGTCTATCTTAATTGCCCCCTCCCCCAACGAAATGACCTCCACATGCTGATTACTCCATGTGGGCAACGTGAAAGTGACGAGTTATAATCATAAGACGCTCAGTAACCTTGTCCAACTGTAATATTGTAATTATTCATGCAACTGAACCGGCCCGATGATGAATTTCCGCAAATATATGTTTGTCAAATATATACTTTTTAGATAAAATATATTGGTACCTTAATGAGCTAGTCAGGAGCAGTTCGATTGGGTAGGCATTCGTATCTAGAATCGGCCTTCCTGCAATAAACCTAGGAAGTGCAGTTCGCTACAGAGTAATTTGCGGTTACTAAATAAGCATTTTTAAGTAAACGGAAAAAAATCTGTAAAAGGAACAATAAAATTTATAAAGTTGACTCATTTTAAAGGACACCGGAATGTGCATAATGTTGTTGTTCGGCTCCGATGGGTAGTGGGGGCATCTTATAAAAATCGATAATAGTAGTATCCAGTAAGACAAGTCTTTAACTCTTGGCATGGTCGATTCAAAATAGAGAACATTTCTCTCATTCTCCCTCTTTTTCTGTTGCCCTCTCTCTAAGGAGTCCACAAAATATTTGCTTTTTAAATCTCAACAAATTACCCGAAAGCAAATAAGGCCTGAATGGCCTCCCAAAATTTACTAGTAGGGTTAATGTCAGAATACCTACTGGCTCCAACACTCTGAAGTATTATATTCTCCAAATCTCTGGACCTTAAGGATACAGAGACAATTTATTTGGGATACGATGAGAAACTTTATTGTGAATTTTAGACACTGGCTCACCAGGTTCTCCTCAGATCTGTGAGGATCTCAAAGGTGCCGGAAAAAATCGATAATGCCTAGCTATGTTTGGTCAATAGCAGTGTGCGTTGGTTGACCTCTAGTCCGGATTGGCTGCCGCCTTTTCCATGCATCCCTGAGAGTGGTGTAAATAGCATCCATTTCGACGGTCCTACTGATGCACGAGTCATCGCAGTTAATGGCCTCTGCTTAACAAGCGATTTCTACCTTACGAGTACCAGCAACTTGATGAAAACTGAGCTATTATAATACCTGTGTCTACTTTATCTTAACATATAATTTTAAAGCTTACTTTGGCCCGATCTGGACTGTTGACATTTCTAAAAGTCATGAAATTCACCTCCTCTAAAAAAACATACTGGACCTTTTAGTGTATTTTATAGTAGTATAATTTCCTTCTGGATGTTCTTTTTTATGGTTCAGCCCCTAAAGCGTATCTTTTTTTGCTTCTATTCACGGAAGAAATGACGAATATTTTATCCGCATGTGTTTGAGTTTATAGAGTTTTATGGCCGATAAGAGTACTTTTGTCGAATAGCGTATTATGTTTTGTTACCAGGAATTTTTAAAATTGCCTAACCGCCAAACCCAGTAGAATATATTAATCTGTGGTGCCGCTGATAGCACGGATCCTTCTGGGTTAACATTGTTGGTCCAAGGATTGGCAAACGTCAAAATTGTTATCGTTTTAAACACAAAAAACCCATATTAAAAAAGAAAAAAATAAATATCGATGATGAATTCATTTAAAATTTGGAATGTGATTAGACTTTTAACAGGAAATGGTATTCAGTTGTTTAAAATGTAACACCGGTAACGTCAAAATCTGATTTTTGAAACATGGTGGATGAGAAATCGGTGCAATGAGCAGGAGCTTGAGGTGAAGCAAAGTGTTTCTTGCTAGCGAAAGCCGCCAAGTTCGCACAGCTTATATGCTTTCAGTTTTTCAACCATATCAGACCTTAATGTAATCTTCCGATAGTACAATCGCCAAAATGCACAGAAATCCGATGGCTAGTCCAAGGCACTGCACCGCAAAAACCGGCAGAGTATGCTTGCCGGCGTCCGCGGCGTCTTTTATGGCGTCACGCATTTCGGGTAGCTAAAACGAAAATAGGAACGACTAAAGCATAGGCAGAACAGATATTGGATAGTAGTAGTGGTAGTTAAAATGCCATTATCAGGTGGTATATTTACTGAAAGGGATTTATTTGGTATTGGACGTTTAAGATAGTTATTTCGTCCATCCATCTTCGGAGACAGGAGATTCCAGCTCACAGCGCTCTTTATCTGCCGCTCTTTTTCATGTGCGTAGTCAGTCAGTACAGGCTTTGTCGCTACCTGGGGGTCCAGTTCACCGTCACTCGTGTCATGTCGGATACCACCCCAGTTGACCCTACGAACTCCCGCGTGACCCCGCTTCTCACCATCGCCTGTCCCCCCCTACCGCAGTCATTGGCCGCGAAGATAGTGGGCGGCTCTGAATGTTCCACGTCGTGCCTGTTTCCTGATAAGAAGGTTCGTAAAACCAGATAGTGGGCAGGCAGATGGATGTGGCGGTTTACTCCGCAGTCGGTGGACACCCAAGCTTCCTTTATCTGCGTCGACATGAGATCGTTGCCTCTATTCAAAAGTTCACCGGCGCCACAGCTAGAAAGCGCCCCACCCTTGCGGCATGGGTTGCTACCTATGACTTTGGGTGCAAGCTTCGTACGACCAACTCATGCTCATGCATTCGTGTTTGTAGCTGTCGACCGGTTTTTCAACATAGCTAACCATCTCACAATTGCACTGAAGTCGGTAGAGAAAGACTGAATTCTCCTCCAGTTTTTTGGCTGCATCATTGTTTGGCGAATATTCTGAAGATGAGTAGACGAAAAAACTACGAAAAACGTCAGACACAACACAAACCTCTCCTGGCGAACGCTCCTTCTTTTTTTAGTAGTAAAATTTGTTGCGTCAGCATTTCACAACAAGCCAATAAAACCGATTTTAATGCGTGAAAAAATGTGAAATCTTTTAGACGTCTGTTTATGGAAGAGTTCAGAGTTTCTCCGATTTTTTTGCACATTACATTTCAAATTTTTCTGCAGCTGCGATTAACTGTGCGTGACAGAGCAAAGATCACAAATCATGTTCACTGACGTCATCAAACTGATGGACCAGAAAAAAGAAGTCCAGTGAGTCCGACCCCGAGCCCAACAGTCGGCCAATCTTAAAAAGCAAATGTTCGGCTAACTCAGACATGCAGGCTAACTAGTCAGTTGTCAACGCTCCAAGTCACGATTTTAGACAGTTCGCGATAGATTGGGATGATTTAGATTTATTATCAATGCGGAAGATGCTGAGGTGCGATGGCGGTCAGCAGGGGGTTATCTCACTCATCCTTGCCTATCTCATGCATCAGTCGACTGTCCGCTCTGGTTCAGATGTTGATTATGAGATCGCGCGTGGTTGCTGAATGAGCTAAACAGACCGTCCGCGTGTGCCGTATATCCCCTGGCCACTTACATAACACCGATTCTGCACACAAATGAGTTTGGCTGCTCAGAGCTCACATGTGCTGGAGCACCATGGAGACCCAGTGGAAGAGGAGCCAAAGAGCACACTGCCCACTCACCTAAGAGCCGCTTATTTTCTGCTTCCAGTGCGTGCTGGAGGGCGGGTTAGATAGGCTTGTAGACAGCTGTGTAATAATGGGATATGCCATTGGGCATTTTACAACAGATTTTTCTGAAGGCGCACTTGACGAATAGACCCATGTAGTGACGGAATATAGGAAGACAGTGCAAACATTTGAGGTGGTTGTACGTTGATTCTCAAGGAAATAGCTTGCAATGGATTCGCACGTGACCAACCACTCTGGTGCG